ATGCTTGTTCCAAGTTGGTCTCCGCTGGTTTATGCTAGTAGTGCCTGTCTGGTGCTGGTTAAGCTGGTCACCCAGCATGGTCGTGTAGCTAGACCTGCATATCAGCAATCAAAAACACAACAAATGCTGTTTTTTCTAGCAGGGTAACCAGGGCCCTGCCTGGACAGAAAGCCCTCCAAAAGCCTCAGAAGTGAATTGATTTTGGTTTCTGATTTTAATACTCTCTGTTATTGAGTTATTCTATGGAAACGCCCATTTTTGTGTCCCTAGCATTTACAGATATATTACACTTGAAAAACATGTTAGGGTTACAATTTATTTATATTTTAAGATAAAACAGTGTTTTAACAGTTATACCTTCTTGAGCCATCAAATTAGCAACGCTGGTTTATAAATTAATTATGTAGAATTCCTAGCACCACAGAAGTGCTGGTCCTCACAGTCGTGTGTAAAGGGTGAGGCCATGTTTTGAGGTAAAAAATGTTTTTCTGCAATTTTAACTGTAATAATTTATACATGACTATGAAATATATTAATTAAATGACATAAAGAAAACAAATGCCAAACAAATATTATAAAATATGTAATGAAAGTTGTGGTCTCCAGGAGTCGTGTCACTGGTGTTACTGTATAACAAGAAATTGCTTATTTTGATATAAAAATCACACTGATGACATAATTTCTCTTCCTTTTACATATTTTCTAAAGATCTATGAAGAAAAGCACATGGTGAGTCCACTGTGTCTTTTCAGTTATCAGAAAGTTTCTCATTTAGCTCATGATTTCATATGAAGCTTTTAGTTGAAGTCACTGGTGTGACCTACTTTATTCGTAAGTAACTGTGAACAAATAGAATACAAATGGATTAAATTGCATATTTTGGTGGATATTCCATGATGTACAACAAGTGGTTTGATGCTCTGTAGCAGACATTTTGTAAAATGCATTCTTCATTAAAAATGTCACTGCTGTTACCGTCTCTGGTGTTACCTTTCTTATGTGTAACACCAATGACAATCAGTAACAGCTGTGACTCCTATGGATAGATAAAAAGTGGATGTTTCTGTAGAATTACCCTATTATAGAAAATGACTGTATTTTCCATTATAAGTTCTACTTATCTACTGTTGTTTCCTAGATTCCCCACAGATTTTGGTGCTACAAACAACAAATAATAGAATAGCATTAGGATAGTGAAGTGGGCTCATTCAATTTGACAAATGTTGCCTAACAAGACACATTGCAATGTAAGAGGTACTTCCAAGATCTTTAATTATCAGCAAAAAATGTTGTACATTACAAAGCAGTTGTTTTGAACTTGAACTTGTGCCATGTCAAGTGGTTAACCTCATCTTCCAGTTGCAAAAAAGAGGGGCCATTTTCTATTACCAGGATTTGTCACTGCATTGAAATGATTACTTAGCAGACTTGCAGAAACTATGGGCGTGGCAGATTCATACTGGCCTAAAATCACAGTTCTTGACGGTAATCACTTAAATGACAGCTCCTCCAGGGTAAAACTAATCCAGCTTGAATAGGGCTCTAATAAAAATCAAATCTAATTCTACATATCAAGAATATATTCTAATTCTAATCTATGACGTAACTGTGGATTTAAAGCTAAAATGACCAGCCATTTATTTGACAGTTTAATGAATTAGATGTACATCATTCCAGGCAGTCTAATCTGCACTCATTTCTACACAGTTTTAATGAACAGTAATGGCTAATTTCTGAAAGGAAAGCTGTAACTGGGAGTAAAGCAACAACACTTACAAATAAAAAAAAGAGACATTCAACACACAAATCACACAGTTTACTTTTTCAACTTACTTTTAATAAATCTGAACGTACAGGAAGACAGTAGTATTGCAAAGACAGAAGTGGGCCGGAGGTCAGGGGTTTGGTGCTGAGGGTGTGAAAGCCCATAGATGGTGGCCAATCCCTTTTTGTTCTAAACTGAAAAATGGCATAAGCACATGGCTCTGGGGTCTTTGTGTTTCCTGTCATACTGAAAGGCCAAAAAAATGACTGATATATTCTAACATCTCTTGACAACAAAGCCTACTGGTATTGTAGACAACAGCTGCACAACATGTTCAGAAGGTGGAAGATAGTAAAATCTGTGCTGACTGCTGTACAGAACATCCAGCCCATTTCTAAAGGTCAAGAGGGTGACAATACAAGGTTTACTCACCTTTTTCTTTTTTTTTGGAACATATTTCCAGCACATATCATAAATTCATGCACAGGTGTCATGGGAAAAAATAAAAAACACGCAATAACACACAAAAAATACCAGTTCTCCACTTTGTCTTCAGGGCAATGTGAAGGAAATTCAGGTTCTTTCGTGGGGTTTGTCTCCTTGTCAGAGTTCTGTTCACTGAAACTTTCAGTGTTACTTGCCATAACGTCACCACGCTCACAGAGTCATTTAGTTTTGGGAAGACAGTAACACAACAACAACAACAACAACAATACACAAATACAACACGGTAAAAACTAACATCATTTTGTCTTGACAATTTTAGCCCTAAGTTCTCTCTTAACAATGATCTCACTCTGGAACATTATGCAAGAAATTGTGCTACAGCAAAATAAACTCACATAACAATCGTCACATCTTAATGACAAATCTTTTCCAGTAAGGATGCTTGTTTAATATTCATGCAACTAGTAGACATGTGTACACCCCACTATCTTTAGTTTCTTCATTAAATTCAAATCAAAGTACAAAAATATAGGTCACAACAATTCGCTAATCAAGGGTAAAGAAAACAATACATCAAATTAAGAATATACAGTAGTAAAATACATCTTTACAACCTGTACGTCTTCTTAGAGATATGTTTGTCATGGAGGGCTTGTAGGCAAAATGCAACCCAAAGGTCCTGCAATGTGATAGTTGCCAATCAAGCTCAAGTAAAAACACTTTTCTCTTTCATGAAACAATAGAAAACTCTCTAAAATATCCAGACCTGTAATGCACATTTTTAAAATCTTCCCTCAGTGGAAATCAGTCATTAGCTTTTGTAATTATTCAGGAAGCACTGATATGGGAATTTTTGGGCTAATGCTGATATGCAATATTATTTATGTACATATCTGCTGAGATATATGCATTTCATCAAATGTAGAAGTTGGGATTAAATCTCTTGGATTAGCTTCACGAAGATATGGAACATGTTTTAGAAGCGAATCAGCCTGAAACTCACTCTTTCACTCACATTTAGCAAGCTGAAGATTCTCCACAAGGGGGCACAATTTCTACTAAAACAGCTGTTGGTGCATCGCATCCCTGACACTGTATGTCCTTCTTTGTTTAGAGTAAAATTAATTAAATGCTTAAACCATCTGCTCTTCCAGAGTACAATAAATATGTCACCAAATATCAATTTGAAATATCAGGTCAACTCTAATAATGATGCCTAACTTTTTCACTCAATTATCTGCTGATGCCAATATGATTCTGATATCATTGTGCATCACAAGTAGTTGAGAAGTTCACTGGAAGTCAGTGGGGCCACTTTGATAATACAAAATGCTATTTGTTTAGTGCAGATTACAATTACAAGATACAGTGTTATTGTTGAAAGTACTGGAAAATGAATCTTGTAACCTACTTCATTACACATGAACTCCAGTTCAGCCAAGTACCACAAGCAGTTCAGTGACAGAAGATTTCAGTGACGCTCTGTCTTGAATGACCATGTGCAGGAAATAAACAGGATTTGACATAGCAGTGGGGCTGCACAATGCCAGCTGGATTTGGCACAGGCGTGTCAACAAAGTAGCAAAATCAATAAAATGAAAAACATTAAACTACATACAAATAAATTGAAAAAATATACTTCTGAATCTAGAGAGCTTGAATAAGTTAGGTCAATCTAAAATAACACTCAAAATAACTACTCACAAAATCCTACGAATACACACACACACACCCACACACACGCACACACTTTACGCAACAGGTCGTGTACAGCAAATTCCTTCTGTCATGTTTTCAAAAAGATTTTCCTGACAACATCAAATGGAAGTTATTTCCATTTTGTACCACCGTTCCCCAAAAAAGGGCCAGTGCACCTTCCTTTGTCCAAGAGTCATCTGCAAGGTTCTTCAAAGTCAGTTTCCTTTTTTTCTTTTTTTGCATCTTGTATTGCTTTAAGGAATATGTTTTGGTCTAGCCCTAATCATTCCTCCAAATCTGCCATGTCTTTGTGTAGCTTATGTTTTCCGATTGTGATCAAATCCTGTCGGTCTGTGAAGGGAGGCCGCGGCTCCTCTCCTTCAAGATTTCCTCTGAGGAAGTGCACTGTAAGACAGTCAGCGAGCTTAAGGAAATCTTTCCCCAAAGAGTGCAATGTGGTCTCGCTCTCGGAGGCAACTCACAGTAAAAAAAACAAACAAAAAAAAAACAAAACAAAGAAAAAAGAGACACTGATCACAAGCAAAAATCAGCTTCATAAAGTAGTTGACCTAATTTTTTGCTTAGTTTCTCTGTCCAGTCACTCTCAGAGGTGTCATGTAAATCTTCACATCATGTTATGAGTCTTTTATTTATGAGTGTTTTATAATTATTCAGTAAGGAAGCAATATATTTGTGTACATCAGTGGTCACCAAGCCCCCACCCCCTGGAGATCTTGATCTAACCGTACACAACTCTAACTAACTGGGCCTATACAAGCTGGACGAGTATGTTTTGAGTTCAGTGTTTTGGGTTAGAGCTGACATGAAGTCGGGCTGCTCATAGAATCAATTGTCAATCATTATCGCAATCAGGGATGCAAAGTGGGACAAGCAGATGGGGACCAAGATTATAATTAATAACTAATTAATTAACTGTTAATATTATTAACAGTCCAAATGTATGTGATGTCAGATACTCTTTTGCAACTATTTTTGTAAAAACCATCTTGTAACCCCCTAAAATTAACTTCCAAAAGTGGAGAGGACATGGCCCCCTCACCTCCCCCACCACCCCCCCAAATTTGCACCTGTAATGGTGATATATGCAAATGGTTCTAACAAATCACAAGATGTTGTATTGGGTGCTGTGAGCATCCTGGCCAATCATAGATGCTCTTTAAGTGTTTGGATTAATCAAGGCATTCATATGATCCAATAGAAATAAATAATGTTCCCCAAAAATAATGCAGGCCAACTTTAAATCATGCTCACAAACGAGTTTTCAGTATATTGTAGTATAGCCAGAGGTGGATAAAGAGTAGTCTAAGCCTCTAGTCAAGTAAAAGTTTTATTCCTAATGGCAAAGTAGCAGGTCCAAAACTACTTAACTAGCAGAGGAAGTGAAGTTTGTTGGTGGTTAGCCTATTTGTTATTCTTCTCTTTTTTTAGAGCAAGTTGGTCTAAAATAATATCCAAAAGCTCCAAAGTGAGAGAACTGCAAAGCAGTTCTAGATGCTGAAAGAGAAACTAAATGTTAATGACTGAAATATAACTGATTAGATCACTTTCCTCACACATATATGTGAGTAGAAGTAAAAGTATTACTATCTGAAAATACTCAAAGAAATACCAATTAATCCAAATATGACTTGTGTACCTGTAGTTGAGTGAAGGTAACTGGTTTCTACCCCTCTTTGCTAATCATAATCGCAATATATATAGCAGTGTATTCACAATATGGTGTTGTACACTTTGTGCAGCTCTAGGCAGATGTCCAAGAGTTAGGGTTGCTGACCACTGGTGTACAAGTCAAGGATCTCTACACACAGATCTCTATGGGGGTAGTGACCAGGATGCGGCCGTTGGCAGCGCTGTCCCTGGGCACGCGCTCATAACTGTTGGTGGATGACACAGAACTGTTGGTGGACACTGAGGTGAAGTGGTGGGTGGCAGCACCCCCTGCCTCCGCTGCTCCACTCTTGACTCCGCCCGCCTCCGGAGACAGTGTCTGCTGCTTCATGCGGTCCACCAGCAGCTCCTCCTCCTCCTCTGAGGAAGAGCTGACCGCCCCCTGGTGGTGACCACCTGCTCCTTCTCCATCCAGCATCCAGCGGTGGCCGAAGTGGGTGAACACCTCCTTGACCTGGCAGCGGTGCTCGGGTTCCAGGGCCAGCAGCTTGCGGAACATCTGCAGCGCCCCGTCGCTGAAGCGGCGCCACTGCGAGGGCACGGTGGCCGTCCGGCGCCGCTGCCAGCGAGCAAACTCCTCGTAGAAGGCATCTGAGGGCATGGCCTTCTCCCAGGGGAAGTTGCCTGTCAGCATGCAGAAGAGCAGTACGCCAAAGGCCCACACGTCCGTGCCGTAGTCTACACAGAAGCCGTCGCGGGCAGACGCGTCACACAGTTCGGGTGCTGTGTACGGGATGGTGCCGCTCACGCGCTTCACTGGAGAGCCGGCCCGCCGCGTCATCCCGAAGTCCGACAGCTTTACCTTGCGGCACTCCCTGTCAAAGATCAGCACGTTCTCTGGCTTAATGTCGCGGTGGACCAGCTTCTTGCAGTGGAGGTAGTCCAAGGCGATGGCCACCTGGTGGACGCAGCGCTTGGCCACCGGCTCTGGAAGTCCCACCTGAACAATGGACAAAAAAAATAAAACTTTTAACCCTTTTAGGTCCCCCACAGTGTACATGCCGAACACCTCTTCTTACATTTATTTTTACTCTTTGAAACAAGCAGAGAAATTCTGTCGAATGCCAATTTCAAACTTTACATCAATGTTACATTAAAAATATGTTATCATTATTTGGATTTTATGGAAAGTTGTGTGAACGGTCATGTTTTGCAGAAAGAAAATCCCTTTATGTTACTGACCTCAAAAATCTAGTTATAAGTTATGAAAAAATCCCTCCACCAAACCATGATACCTGAACACATTCACCCCTATGAAATATCTAGAAGTCACATATTCAAAGGCAATTTATTTTATCCAAATTTCCTAAAGATAACAGGAAGAATAAAATTGTTTTCTCATTCTTTTTCCCTTATTTTCAGTGACTGTGATATTGACTGTCAGTGTCACTATAGATGTTCAACCTTGTTACCTACATTTTAGATTGAAAGTAAAATATTAATTCCAAAATACTCCAAAGTTATTAGAATGTCTTTAATGTCCTCATGCTATTAGCATGGCTGCTAGTAACCACATTTTTTGTATTTGCTAATTCTGTGCTAAAAAAAATCAACCCTGTTATTCATTTAAGCCACTGTCAGCAGAGAAACATTGTAAAACATTATATTTTGTTCCCATATGGAGGAAAATATGTGTACATATATCTGCTCATATTAAAAATAAATGTGCAATGTTTTTGCACATTTATTTTTAATATGAGCACATCTGCACATGTGCATTGTTTCTGTGATGTTTAAAATATATGTGCTAAATAGATTCAACTGCACCAATATATGCACATATGTAGATAGAGTATATGTAATAGTTTCAATTTTTAATATTTACATATATGTCAAACATATATGGAAGTATATTACAAACCTGACACACTGAAGTTGAAAAATATACAGAAATATATTTCCACTGCATGTAGGATAGGTTGAATGGTTAAATGCATGTCTTCTTAGATTCAATGGTTAAAAATGATAAAAAAAGAGTAAAGATAAAATGAGTTGAAGAAGTTAAAAAATTTATTACAGAGTTAGAAGTGCTAAATCCCCAGTCGTGGAATCACTATAACAATGGCTGTGGGATTTTGGAGTACCTGTGGAGGAATGATGTCGAAGAGATCCCCCGCTAAAGCGTACTCCTGTGCAAAAACATAGTAATCCTCCGTCTCGAACGCAATGCCGAACATGTTGATTATGAAGGGACAGGGCGAGAGGTACAGCGAGATACTGTACTCCCTCAGAAAGCTCTTTAGCTTGGTGGTTTTCTTCTTGAGGAATTTCAGAGCCATCTTGGTGCCTATAGGTTAAGAGAAAAGAAAAGAAAAAAAAGCCATATAACACTGAAATCTTTAGCCTTTGCTAATTATTATCTTTTATTTCAGCATGTACACAGAATGCAGGACCACCCCTTTACCTCTGATTTTATGAATGACCAGGTCCACCTTCCCGTAGGTGCCTTTCCCCAGCTCCCGGATGACCTCATAGTACTTGTTGACCTCAAGCTTTTCCAGGTTTTGGGCTGCGAAGAGCTGCAGCTCCTCCAGGATGTCCACAGATACGCGAGAGCCAACCGGAGAGGAGCTCATGCTTCCACAGGAGCAGAAATGCTGTCCGAAACTTAGTGTTACTGCAGTCGACAAAAAAGAGACACGGTCTGAGATTAAACTGGGTCCCCAGTGATGTAGATAAAGAATGCCTCTTCATGAATTTCTCACTCGTAGCTATTTGAAACAATGCTGTGTCAAAAGCACAAACTCTAAACTCGCAATGGAATGTAAATGCAGTTCATTACGCAGTCATGTAATTATGTAATCAAGTGATTACATTTAAATAGTATAGCAGAATGACAGTGATATCTCTAGACTTCTACAGGGGTAAAACAAATCGAGGCTGAACTTTTCTGCGTTCCCCAGAGTCCACTGAACAGTTAATGATCTGTACGCTGTATTCTCCCCGGTCCTAGCCTTGCTTCAGGCAAAGTAATTAGCCTGAAGATCTTCAAGACGTTTTCTAAAGATAAGGGATTCCACATACCCTCATCTAACCTGCCTTTCCCTCTGCTCGTCTTACTACTGTATTTGTAAGGAACGTGGACTGGCTGAGCGTTATGAAACAGAAGAGAACACGGTGTATCTGTCTGAAAGCAGTACAGCCAGTCCTCTTGCTTTTGCAGTCATAATTCCACTAGATTTTAAAGCAGAGTTTCACTGTTTAACTTGACACAGGAACAAACCATCACTCTTAATCAACCATTACATAATCAGCCTGATTGAAAATGCTCCGCTGATTCTACTGCACAGTCGCTCTGCATGTCCCCTTCAACAAACTACAGCTGAGGCTTTCACCCCATTTCACTGCTCCCAATCAGTCCACAGTCTTTACTAGGGGTGTGACAATGAATTGTAACAGGCAAAAATGTCACATAGAAAAGGAACTCTACTAATTATGGCACTGAATTCAATTACATAGTTTTAACACCAAAGCTCGCAAACAACCAGCACCAATCGACATCCCACACCTGTACGTTCATTAGTCAGGTGTTCAAGAACACTGACAGTCATATTATTCACTCAAATTTTGCTCAAAATTATATTGAAAATATCACATCATGAAACCAGTATCAAGAATCGAATCACATCGTGGGACAAGTGTATCATTACACAACTATTCTCACTGTTATTTTTGACTCTCTTTTTAAAAATATTGTCACTGATACTGATTTTCAGGAGCAAAAAATAATTTTAGAGACTGGTTGAACGGTGCTTTACTGGCTGATGTGAGTGTCACTTCTCAAATTTCGTAAACTCAAACAGTGGAAGCTGTGAAAGTCTTACATTATATACATTCAAAACAATCCACTTATGAGTAACCTTAACAAAACTAAGGAATAAGTTTTTATAATGTTTTACATACATACTACATACTTTAGTACAAAGTTCTTAAAAATTGTCTTTATTTCTTTCTTAACTTCTCTTTTAAAAACAATCGTAGGAGCAAGTGGTATTCTTGAAAAAAGTTCTTAAATGTTTTCTTAACCTTACAACAGTCTCACATTTGCCTTAGACTGTAAGAGCTGACAGGGTAAACCCCTTAAACTGTAATCTGGAATGTGTAATGGGTTTCACACAATATAATCGTTAAAATAAACCAAGGAGGATTTTTCCTGCTGGATGTTTCCTCCACCAGCACTTTTATTTATTTATTTGTTTGTTTGTGTAGTTTGATTTTATTGCTGTCCTCAGATGTGACGTGATTTAAGCAAATAACCGGTTTATGGAAACACGGTATTTCTGGTAATTTGTAAAATGTAACATGATATTGATAGGCTACCTAAAAGATATATAACCCACTGCCTACATACAAAAATAAATAAAACTTTCTTAACAGAACATTTGAAAACTTCTCAAGTTCTTCTCAAGTGGTTCAAAAACGCATCACATTCGTGAATGTGATTTTCTTATATAATATCCAGGACCTGAATGATATAAACAGAGATATTATTGCCAATACTGATAAAACCGTACGTCGTCAGTATCAGCTGATTTTACTGGCCAACTGATATATGAGTCAGACTCATAACATTTGATGAAACATCATGAAAGCTTCATCCTCACAATTTCTACTGGTGTGTTTAATACATTAAGTCGGGCCCTGTTTTGTATATCTCAGCCTGTTCGCCTGTTTCGGAGCGCTGCAGCGTCTGTAAACAGAGGAGGCAATTTGTTACTGGTGACAGATCAGAAGTGCTTAGCTTGCACTGCAGGTTACAGCACATGGTTAGGTTCCTGGGTGGGCTTAGTGGGCTGTAGCATGTTCTCTTATCATATCTTTACCACCACCAAAGTCTCATACTGTATGTCCTGTTCGATTTTTCTATCATGGCTCTTTCAGCGCCACAGAGCAATCCAATAGTCTGGAGGTGGATTTATTAAGTAGGCTGCAAGAGCTGGGCAGGCATGTAACACAGACATTCTCACCACCACTGCTCACTCAGAGAGGGACACGACAAAATGGAAGCTGGGCTGGAGCGATATGACTCACTGGGTCAAAGACAATGTCAGCGCTGCATGGCTTTAAGGCAAACAGATGCAAAACGCAGAAAGTGAATGTACAGCACAACGGGATGGCGATGAGAACAGTGTTTTACTGTTCCTGCTGTGCATTACAGAGTTTTATTCCAGTGTCTTTCTACTATTAATGGCCACGTCAAGCATCATTTAGAGTCAGATTGTATAGATCTCCATTTCTGCTGTGCAGGAAGATACTTCAAGGCAATACATATTACAATACTTAGTTTTTCTGAAGTCTGAATGGACAAAAGCCTTAGTAGTATTTAAAAAAACATGTTGTATGTTGTATATTGTGTTCATTTTACATAGTGCACTACATTAAATCCAATTAAACAGGCCTAATTTTAGATATTATAAGCTAATTTTAATGAAACATGCAGTTGCTCAGTGTTCTTTCCGTACTGATATCCACAATATGCTCAGCATCAGCTAATGTCATCTTGTGCTCCCCTATGTTTAAATATAGTACAACTTTATGCAAAAGTTTGAACATCTTTGTTAAAATTACATGTTTTGCTAAGTGTAAATAAGTTCTCTACAGGGAACAAATTTAAATATGAGCTTTTTCTGCTAAAGTGCACAACAAGTTTAACATTGTGGAAAAAAAAATATACAATTTAAAATGTGGCATAACTTTTGGACAGGCCACGTTTTATGTTTTACTTTATTTTCCAATATGTTAAATTCAGCAAAAACACAGTATTCAGCATACGAATATAGTGTCATCCAGATATATCTGGTCCCTTGGTAAGAATGAGCAAAAAGGGCTACGGAAAGTTACTTTTGTTGTTTATCAGCTTGATTTGAAACATTTTTCAAATAAAAAAAGTCCTTTTAAAATATTACAAAAACATGAGTCACTATAATTCACAACCATAAATTATATTCTAATAAAGAAATTTTAAGTGACATATTCCCATTTATGGTTTACCTTTTCTAAACACCAGTCTTAAAGACGTGGTCATCCAGGGTTTCCACTGGGTTCTAAATATGAAATGACCAAAGAACACAGACCAAACGTCCATCATCTTTACCAAGAGCCATTCCACAGGGCTGTACAACAGACTGCCTACTGATAGTCGACTACTAACTGAAGAACCAGGGAGGTTTTGTGATTATATGCATTATGTGTCCAGAAGTTTGTAGACTCCTGCTCATCCAAATTTCTTCTGAAATTAAAGGTATTAATAGGGAGTTTGTTCCCCTCTTTGTAACAGCCTCTACTCTTCTGGAAAGGCTTTACATTAGATGTTCGAACATTGCTGTGAGGACTTGATTGCATTCAGCCACAAGGGCATCAGTGAGGTCAGGTACTGATGTTTGATGATTAGTTCTGTATCACAAATGTCACTCCAATTCATCCCAAAGCTGCTCCAGCACTGAGTGGCGCTCCATCAGTTCAGAGAAAACAGTGCCACTGCTCCACATTTCAGTGACGGGGGGCTTTTAATACCCTCTAGCCAATGCTTGGCGTTGGACAAGGTGACCTTAGGCTCAAGTGCAGCTGTAGAGACTGTACAAGTTCAATGTGCAGTTGAACACCTGTGTCAGCAATGGGTGCACCTAAAAGTAGCTGAATTCCTTAATTAGAAGGTTTACTAAGGCTGTACAAAGGACCACAAACTGTGCACAGGACAGTTCTCACCCACCAAAATATTTTACAGGGAATAACTGTACTGCAGTTAAAAGCAAACAGTAAGGCTGCATCAATTACATCTAATACTGAGAGTTTACATAGTGTTATTCTGTTGGTAAATATTACCAATGCTATGCCTGGATGAAATCGAAAAACTGCTTTTTTCCCAGTTGTCCAAACTTTGGTTAATTGAGCCGAAAATGTAATAAACCTCCCTTCTGATATCTCTGCCCATTTTTGTGAGGTCCTCTCAGGTTTTTCACCCATTTCGTTCATAACATTTGGGCAAAATGTATCCGATTTATGCCTGAAACTGCCGCAAAAGGCCCATAGTGTGATGTACACTGGCTGTCTGTGACAGTTCCATGTGCACAGTGCAATGGCAATTCCAGGTCAGGAGTGAGATGGAGAGTGTTTGCATATCCACCCCATTTCCTTTCCTCCTCAGCCTCCAAGTCGCAGCTCCGTTGTTCTAAACGATTAACCACGAAATGCAGCATCCTAAAGCACTTCATGCTTATCCCTGAGGCGAGGCTTCGCTCCAGAGCCAGAGCTGCTTCGCTATTCATCTGCTGTTGCACTTATCGGGGGTTGAGGCCCTGGGAACACAGGCCGGGGATAGCAGAGAAGTCAACATCTCTAATCTCTCAGCCTCCTCGGCCAACTTCCTCTCTAGAATATTCATGCCGCCTCAGCTCTGCGCTTTCCCAGGAGTGATTCTGAGGGCACTGGCTCCTCGCTAACCTCGAGCACTAGTTCCCCTTTGCTTAAACTGCAGACTTGCAACCTGCTGCCCTCAACAAGCCAACGTGCTGCAGTGATGGAGGGGCAAACTGAGAAAGTATTGTAGTATTCAGTGTAGTATTCAGACTATTACAATAGCCAACAACCACTTTAGGAAAATGAAGGCCAACCACACAA